CCCTGGTGGCGGAAATAGCAAACGCGGTCGAATTGTGCTCGTCGCGCACAATATTGTGTTAATCTTATGACAATATTAGAAACAGAAGCCTAAAATGTTTATTTTCTTAATCTTGTGACAATGTTAAAGTGCGAATATTACCACAATGTTGTAAAAATAATGTTAGCATAATATCAATTCAGCAGTTTTAGATATCCAATATTGTGTCAATATTATGACAATATTACGAATAGAAGCCTGTTATGTTTGTTGTTCTAACGTTAATTGAATGTTAACATAATAACAATACTTCAGTATCACAGAGATAACATCGTCTCGATATTATTTTAGCAATTTTGTTTTCCTAATATTGTGTCAATATTATAAGCAGAAGCCTATGTTCAGTATTTTTTTTAATAATGCGCCAATGTTAAAACTAACATATTACTGCAATATTAAAAACATAACTCTACGACAGTATTAGTTTACCAATATTGTATAACCAATATTGTGACAACAGTGTGACAATCTTGGAATCACCGAGCACCATCTGACGTTGGATTTCTAATGTTGCTAATATTGGTGCAATATTAAAATACTATGGTTATATATCCAGTATTGATGGCATATTGTACCAAGATTCTCAGGCCAACCTTACTGTTGAAATATGCTCACAATCTCGCTAAGGTTGCCACAATATTATTCCGATCTGCCCAAGGTCAAATTTCCGATTGGGTGAGAACAACGTGTGCGTTGAAAAATATCTCATACCAAGTTTCGTGGAATTTATGAGACTCAGAAATAGTTCCAATGATGAATTTAAATTTTAAGGGTGCGAGTAGAAGGAGCTTAGTTGCACAGCAACGTTCCAAAATTTCATTTGCGAACTTATTCATAACACAAAAATTGTTACAATTTTGTTTTCCGATTTTTTTTTTAAAAAAAATATTATCTCTTATTATCGGTTATTAGGTACACTGGAAAAAACACATTGGATCTAGAGTCCAGACTCTTGAAAACATTGACAAGAGAAAATACTCTTGATTCAATCGGATTTTTGCTTGAATCAAAACGAAATCCGCTTAAATTAAGAGGCTTGGTTCTTGATTTAAGCTAGATTCTGATTGAATCAAGAGAACTTTTCTTGTCGATGTTTAGTCTGCACTCTAGATCCAATGTGTTTTTTTTTCCAGTGTATAAAAAAATAGGTTGTCCCGTGAAACTTTGAAACGTCACAATGTAATGTGGCGGCAGGCAATGAGGGATCAGCGCAAGACGCACTGCTACACTGGATAGTGGTTGGCTATGGCCACAGTAAATTAGACGCCTGCCACTGGAAAAGAAGTAACTTGTATCTAGAGTCCTGACACTTAAACACATTAAGAAGAAAAAATACTCTTGATTCAATCGGATTTTTGCTTGAATCGAAAGAAAATCCGCTTAAATTAAGAGGCTTGGCTGTCGATTTAAGCAAAAATCCGATTGTATCAAGTGTATTTTTTTTCTTATCAATGTTTTTAAGAGTCTGGACTCTAGATTCGAGCGATTTCCAGTGATAGCTTTCATTTCTTCGATGCATGCGCTCTACTTTATTTAGGATTAGCTCGATCTTATTAGTCTCTCGAAGGAATTTATTGAAAGGATTGCTTTTTGCATATGGTTTTAAAAAAAATTGTAAATTTAATATTCAAAACTATTTTTTTGGTTCTAGGTGTTGCAAAATCGACAACGCGGCACCAAAAATCAATATTTCAGCCCTCAGCACGATTCATATTCTCATATTCATCGACGTATGCTCCAAAAGTGGCCATGAATGTCGATAATCAGCAAAGGAGGCAGATAATTATTTGAAGTGACCGAAGGCCAATCCTCAGGGATTCTGCAATTTTGGGTAAAGTGATCTCATTTTCGATGGGCACTACAATGAGCAGAGGAGGCAACATGTGTGGGGGTCTTCTATACTTTTACCAATCCTTTTTGATTTTGAAAGAATTTTTATCGGTGGTGACTTACATAAAAGACAGAGTAAACGTTGGAGACTCCAATCGGCCCACATTTTGGTGGGAATCGCGTCCAAGGCCGCCCACGCCTAAGGAAGGAGAGGACCCCAATGACCAATGGGAGTACGTTGATCCTGCACAGAATCAGAAGAAAAGCGTTAGTTTCGCCGAGGATGAGGCAAATTACTTTTGTCTGCCCAGTGTCCACATATGAACTGGCGCATAGCTGTGAAAATACCTTGTTTTTCAAATTTTTATAGGTTTTTTTTGTATGATTGGGTGGCTTTAGCCAGAATCAGCGAATTGTATCGGACGTTGTCTAATTTCAAATTTTATTTTATTTTTCAACCGGAAACAGCGCAACATATCCGACCTTGGAATTTCTCAAGTATATTCTGCTAGACTCGTGGGGATTTCCCGAACAGATTTAAGGCGTTATGTTGCTTGATGTTTCTTTTCGAGAAAAATAAAATAACAGGCAAAATATTTCTACGGATGTGGGTGTTTCCTTGGAAATTTTTTAAGTCACTCAGTGCGACACACACCAAAAAAAAACCCGAAAAAACAGCGGCAACGCTGTTGTTAGGCAACGTGCAACTCGCAGATGAGCTGGTTCTGATCAAATCTGTCCAATTTCTGGTCGTGATAAAATCGAACTTTCAGAAACAATAATTAATCACTGAATGAGAGGGCATTTATTCTCACTGTTACTTTTTAGAAAAAATCGAAAAGGAGAATAATACTGTTTTAATATTGTATTTTGTTTGAACTTTTACTCTTCTTCATTAGAATGATCTTGAATCACACATTTTGAATAAGACTAAATTAAGATCTCTTAAGGAGCTTCTAAGCTGATTATTCAAAGCAAGAATAAACAGGAGTATCATGTAGTTGGATGAAAAGGAAAGGAATATCTCCAAAAAAAAGATTTTCGTTGTCTAAGAATTGTACATTCGCCAAAAATCTGACCACCAACCAAGTTTTTTGAGCGCCACAAGACGTTGACACAGGATTCTTATGCGTGTGATTTTTTCGGATTTTTAAATATCAATTTTTTTCCTGCAGTACGAAATGAAACAACAATTGTAATCGTGGGTGGCCTTTATAGAAGACATATGAATAGAAGTCATGCATTGTTCCGCTTTTCGTTTACTGTTGTTTTTTGAGTGATTAACGTCATTATTCCGTAGATTTGACTTTATAAACCTTGCCTAATGCCTTGCCTACGTCATTTTGTAGAAAAAAACAGAAGTCATTTGTAATTTTTTAGGCCACAGGAAAACAACTAAGCTTCCGAAAAAATTCATACCTGTGCATTGTAGCTTCATGGAATAAAACTTTAAAAGCATTTTCGATAGATATCATTCTTGTCGTTAGATAAAAATGAGGAAAATTTGTTTTAATGAAGAAAACTAGTTCTATGTATGTTATGAGAGTATGGTTGTTCATATGGTAATGTGTATCCATTCTATAACATTCTTGCATTACAATTCAAAATTATTTAGATTGTTCTTGAATGCAGGAGTGGTGAAAAAGTCAGCAGAGTTTGCATAAAATTGAGGTTCCTTGGAAACTTAAATAACACGATTGATGCCTTAACTCAGAGAATGCGCATAATAGTTTCCTGAGTTTCAAGTATTCCTGTCATACTTTTATTTTTTTATTTTAAAAATAGTCAGCATTATTTCGTGGAAATATTTCAGATTTGTCCGACTTCCTGTTGAATATTTTATAGAAATTTTAGACCGTCTGACTTATTTCAATTAGAAAAAAAAGAAAAAAAATTGTAACAGATAATTTGAAAGGAGCTGTAATCGAGATAAGTGTAGCCAATAATTTGTTACATGTTTTAATCTTATTCTCAAAAATTTCGTATTAAAAAAATTTGCCGCGATGCCCCTATTTTATTACAGTTTTGTCTGAGTGCTGAATGGTGCAAATATTATTTTCCCTTTCCTTTCAAAACCCGTACGTTTTCATATGTTTTATTAATTAGCTATCGTGTTTTTAAGGGCACAGATTATGCGGCCATCAAAAAATATACAGCTTCCTCGTTTGGGTTTGCGTTTTCAGATAATCTTTGGCTGAAAAAAATCTCACAACAAACTAAAGTGTCTGTTTGGGTAGGGATGCGATTTTACTGTTCTTTGCCACGCGCTCCGCGTTTTAGGCGGTAAAGACTCACTCGGATCAGTGAGCAGGAGAGTAGGAAGAAGATCGTATTTACTTTCCGTGAGATGACGTAATCGTGAAGTATTGACCTAATTAATTAATGCAATTGCATTCTCTGTTTTGCGTTGAATTAGTCCTGTACTTTCCCTGGAAAAAATCAATTCGCAAGGAATCCGTGTAACATCAGTGTACAGAATCCCTAAAAGTGATATTTAAGTATTCGTTAAAAAGTCGAAACTAAACATCTTAGCACTTTTTACGGTTCCCGAAGTAAGACTAAAAGCACTACTTTCTTCGATATGTCACATCCTATCAAAATTTTTTAAAATTTTCCATCCAAAATCTCTGTGATCTATTTTTTCAACGCTTAAATGTGGTTTAAAAAGTTGATGCAACATTCCTCAGCAATTGAATTCTATTTTATACAGAAATTTACTGTTCTGTTCTGTGTATGTCGAATGTAAACAGTACTTGGAATTGAGTAACATGAAAACAATGTAATATCAGCGTGTTCATGATGAAAACAGGAGGGATGTGTTTCATTTTGCCCAAAATCATGAAACCATGATGAAGTCAATATGAATACTGCATTAACATGTATGAAATACGAAACCATTTTGTTTTTAGCAAGATTTCATGTTAAAAGTGACGCGTAAATTCAAATTTAAAAAATTAAAGTGGTGCAACATGGAAACATATGAAACCAAATTGGTCAAGATTTCTGGGGTTATGCCTGAATTTCATCACACTTCCAGCCTTAACATCCGTGTTTTGTTATTTTTTGTTTTTTTTTTTTTGAGGACCTTATGTACCAAACAAACATGAAACCGTGTCAAAGTTCCTAAGATTGTGCATTCCATAAATTATTCAGCTGATAGAGGACTATACGCTCTGACCTTCAATTTGTCTTAAATTTAATGTCTATTATTCTTCAAATTATGGCAGATGAATGTACCGTACAAGTATTTTTGGACACTTGTAAAAAAAAAAAAAAATGCACAATCCTAGCGACATTTACATTAGTGTATCTATGACTAAACTCTAGAACCACACATCTCAAAGTACAGCGTTCCAAAATTTCCACCCTTACTTTATTTTTGTAAAGAAGAACTAATCAACCTCTCCGCTTGAAATGTATGCGAGAGAATCATGATAAATAGAAAAAAATCAGAGAAAATTTCAAGAAATCATAACGATTTTTTTGTTAAATAAAAAAATTAAACACCAGAGGAACTTTGCAACGTCTCTTATCTAAATATGTGCTCTAGATTTTAGCCACACTGGAAAAAAACGCATTGGATCTAGAGTCCAGACTCTTAAAAACATCGACAAGAAAAAATACTATTGATTCAATTAGATTTGAGCTTAAATCAAGAACCAAACCCCTCAATTTGAAGAAAAAATACTATTGATTCAATTAGATTTGAGCTTAAATCAAGATCCAAACCCCTCAATTTGAGCGGATTTCCTTTTGATTTAAGCTTAAATCTGATTTCAATCACGATTTTTTCTTGATTCATCAAGAGTATTTTTTCTTGTCAATGTTTTCAAGAGTCTGGACTCTAGATCCAATGTGCTTTTTTCCCAGTGTATCGATATGCTACTTGGACGAAAAATCCCCCATCTGTTCTGTCGATAAGGGATGAACCCAAAATAAAACCGTAACTAATCGTAAGTCCATGCGGATCGTCACCTGGCACAAGAGCATAGGACGTTTGCGTCGTTGCTGAGTCCTCGAACTCTTCGAAGGGATGGCAGAGGGCGCGAGAGAGCTTTCATTCGACACGAATTAACCCGGGTCGAATCCAGAGGAGGTCGCTAACCGAGGTGACCACAGAGCACTGAACACACAAGGGTAATTAGAAGCACGCATTCACTCGCGACATCACACACGACCGACGACGAGCACAAGTGCACTGAATTACCGCCGATAACGCACAGCCGCTTCTTAAAACGTTCCGAGTGTTTTTTCCCCGGATCGGCCTGGCACAACTTGGAGTGGTGACGGGGGACTGATGAGTTGAGGCTGCTACCGGAGCAAGCCTGCGAGCGCCGCGCGGGTGACGCGGGCGGGTTTTCGCGGATCCGTGGATTGATAACTTATCAGTCCATCGGATCCGATTCCGATGGTGATTGGTGATAAAAGGACGGCACTTGCGATGCGAGTGGAATGGAGCGGATGCTGCGGAATGCACGCACCGCCGGGAATAAGATTGCAGCTGCACGGGGAAAAATGTAAACATGGGTAAAATTTGGAGGGGGGGGGGGATTGTGCTGCCGTGATAGCGAAAAGAGCCGTAAGTGCGAAAATGAACTTTCGAGAAAACGGGCTTAGAAGCTTCTGACCGGTAAATTTTATTGAAAGAAGCCTCCGTTCTTTGTCAAATTGCCACAAACCGTCCGGAAGACTCCTAGAAATCGTTTGGATGATGAAATGGCGACTGATTTTATTTCAATTACATTAAGAGGGTATTTTTCATTTTCGTGCCGGGTTGTTGTTAGGCAAGACAGCCGTAAGTGCTGTCTTCTGCATGCTTTCGTGGTTGCGTTTTCAACGCACAACAAACGCATTTTCAGGTTAGAAATTCGAAGAAGAGGGCGGCACTTCACTTGAAAGTACTGTTTTCATTGGCACTCATGCACCTACGGCTGTCTTGAAAAAAACTATGTCATTTTTTGTGCACTTACGGCTTTATCATACGTCTCGTTTTCATTAAATTAGGATGAATTTTGCTGTTTTAGCTGTCTCAGTAATTTCATCTAAAAGAGTTTAGACGAATTTTGAAGAAAACCCATCTCGAAAATTTTGCACTTACGGCTCTCTTCGCTATCACGGCAGTGCTGCGGGCGAGTGCGGAATGCACGCACCGCGACACGTCATCGCCGAGTATTAGATTGCAGCTGCACGGGGAAAAATGTAAACATGGGTAAAATTTGGAGGGGGGGGGTGGTAGTGGGACGCCTCCTCGGAAATCTTTCGGCCCATTCATGAAATGAATCAGTGAGTTCGAAAACACATCAACTCGGGAAAAAAATTGTTCAGGAAACACCTAAAACTGCGCAGCGGGCGAAGAAGTTAGTTTAAGAAAATCCTTTTTGGTGCCAAAGGACAAGTACTTAGAGACTTTGTAAAGCACCAAGTTGAAATCGACACACCATGTTTGGTGACAGAGAATTAAGCGTTTAAAAATTTCCGAGTTGGTGTGTTTTCGTTCTCACCGTCTTTCAGATACTGATTTTCCATAGTCTGCCCTGAAAAATGTATATTTTTCGACCTGAATAACACTTGAATATTTATATATCTTGTTGGAACAAGGTATACTGAACCGCAAAAAGAAAACCCCAAAATCGGATGGTCGCCCGTTTCCCTTGAAATGGCCAAAAATTGGTACTTCCAATGAAATACTTCGATTTTTCCCTTTTCTCGTCGCTGTTTCGAGCACTTCCGATTGCAATTTCGAAATTTCCTTTTGCGTGCAGATGCTTCTATCCGTAAGTGTTACTAAACCGTAAAAAAGTGAAAATCTAAAAAAACCCGAGTTGGTGTGTTTTCGAACTCACCGATTCAAATGTGACAGACTTTGCAAAGTAGGTGCGTGATATTCGATGGCTAAGGTGCGAGACCACATTTGGAGGGGCTTGGAGGACAATACGCACATGTGTAGTTTTTGCTATTTCGAGAAATACACATTTAAAGTTTCGAAATTACACTGATCCTCATGGCGGGATGAAAGTTTAAACTGACTTTTAATTTTTTTAACAGGATATGCAATAAGACTAGTTTTAGTTGATATCATTAACATCTCAATTTTTTCAGAAACTGCATTTATGCGTCTTGTCCTCCAGGACCCTCCCCCCCATCTGTCCGTTCGCAACGTTCTGGACTTCCAGTCTTCATTTTTTCCTTGGAAAACTAGTCAATGTAATGTCTTGAAATCTTCCTTGGTTGTTATTCTCTGTTAGTAAAATATTCTAAATTTTCAAGGTACAAAGTTGACTTGCACCTCTTCGGAAAAATAAACTAGAAGCGAAAATTTTGTAACACCACACAATGGAGTTACGCTGAGAAAGAATTATTCAAGGACTTTGAATTTTATAATACAACGTAGTTGGTAGCTTTAATGAACAGATGAGCCCTTCATTATTTGAAAGAAATAAAGGCCAGCAATTTTCATGATCAATGCGAAAAACGGATAAGAAAACTGATAATGTTTGAGGATTCAGATTAAAATAATTATGAGCTAAAATGGTAACCCAGATTACCGCTCCGTGATAACCAAATGCAATTTAATCACTTTTGAATGCAGATGTTTCCCGAAACGCCAAAACTTGATTAGCAACTGCAGTGTAACACAGCTGAGAGATAGCGAAGGAAAAAACATTGCAACGCAAGCGTAGAGCTCCTTCAATCTTTCATATATGCAGCGCAGCACATCGACGTTACTTTAGACGCCTAACTTTAAGGCGTTCGCATATGTTTGACGAGTTCTGTTCGGTCAAGCTAGTGTAAAAAATAAACTCGAGAGTATAGGTTAAACGTTTTACCAAAAAGTATCATACGGTCATGCCAAAGAAACTACGCAGTATAAACGTTATAATTTTGCCAAATTTCCCGGATAAAATGTTTATTTTTGAGGAAAGGTATGAATATTCCTCTTTGAAATTTTCAGCAACTTTAGGTCAAATGGTGAACAAAATTATTTAAAAAACCAAATGTAGTAAAAGCTCGCTAAGTCGAACTACGGTTAAGACAAAATGCTGCTTCAGTCGAATGTTTTTTCGGTCCCTAGACACAATACGACTTAGCGAGCTTTCACTTTATCTAATTCCTCTCTTTAAAAAAAAATGAGAGGGTGGAAATTTTGAAACACCGTAAAATAGTTGAACGATCGGGCAGGGAGATAAACGAATAAACTCTTAGGAGTTAACTGCAAGCAAATATGCAAGATTTCGGTCATTCTTTTTGCCTACGTGCAAATGGAGGAACTGTGTGCTTCATCTGAAATGAAGCATTTCTACCAAATGGAACTATGTGCACTAAGACATGAGCCCCGAGAACCATAAGAATATATACATAACAGAGCTCCCGTCATAGTGCACATATTTCCGTTTGACAGAAATACGTCCCAATGTGGTAGCGTTTGAAGACTCATACGGCGTTCTGCCTTGGCACGGTAGTTCAGGGGTGAATATTTCGAACCGGAATGGGCCGACTTTCGATTTCTGTGTAAAGATTTGGGATACAATTTTCCGACTCCCACTGTATTCCACAAGGGAGGGTGAGGCTTTGTGGCTGTGAAATTTGGATTCCTTGCGGTCAATTCCTCATTCGATCCTGGAGTCTCCCACTTCATCCGACCTAAAATAAGCGAAAAATCTGGTCCGAGTGGTCTGAAACGCCCTGCATATACACAAGCCCAGCAAAGCTTTATGGTACGGTGTATTAACAGGTTGACATCATCCAACCTATTTTTTAATTGTTGGCAATGATTAAGATGCAGCGGCGTAGCGTGCTTTGCGATACATCGATTGATCTGTCATTTAAACCAATGGAACAGGGTCAATAGACAGGGTGTTCAGAACAAACACCTTAATAATCGATTCTTTACCATAGCTCCAAATGGATAAATATCGATATTCGCTCATTCACGCCTCGCCACTGTTGAGAAGATATTAATCATTGAGGGGCTTGGAGGACACGGCGCACAAGTGCAGTTCTTGAAGAATTTGAGATATTAATGATTTCAAGTGAAACTAGTCCGTATGCATAAATTCTGTGAAAAACTCGCTCCCAAATTTCAATTTTAAGCAGCAAAAAGTCAATTTGAATTTTCTTTCCGCGAAAAGGATGCTTGTATTTCCGAAACTTCAAACACGTATTTATCGAGAGAGCAAAAACTGCACTTATGCGCCGTGTCCTCCAAGCCCTTCAATTGAACCGCATTTTTTCGCAAGGATATTTTCAAGGATATTTCTGGCTCTTTGTAGAAAAAACATGAATGTCATCAGTTCCCCTATTCAAATAAGTGCTTTCATGAATGAATCAAGAATGGTATAATTCCTAATCGCAAAATGTAGTCCAATTTTTCCAATTATTACAGGACTCAACCACCAGAACACGGTTTTGCGGCACGTGCTTCTGAGCCATCATACATTCAATGAGGAAAACCGGTGCGTATATCGCTGCAAAATGGACAATTGAAAAAGGAGGGTACTTTTCAATCGATTTGAGTACCGAGTCCAGTCCATGTCTAGCAATTTCCGGGCTCGTTCCTTGAAATTACCTGACGTAAAAGCGTATCTTGAATTTCACATGAGCCCCCGTTAGCATGGATTTATATGTGAATTAAGGTTCACGTGGAAATTGAGATACGCCCTACGTCAGAGGAGCGACGATCAGTGCGCATCCATTCTAAGTTGAGCCATCGATATTTTCATGTTATGGGATGCGTTTCGCATCGGTTGCTTTGAATGACGATGACCAGGACGAAGCATTTCTGCGGGAAATCACCGAGCTGCTGCATGATGCTCTGCCGTGCTGAGGAAGAACGCCGTATGAACATTCGAGAGTTGCCAAATTTCCTTTGGTAAAATGTTTATTTTAAAGAAAAGTTATGAATGCTTTTCCCTGAAATTTTCAGGAACTTTAGGTACAATTGCGAACAAAATTATCTGAAAAATTGGAAGAAAAATGCTTACAAATTTTTTCCCGAAAATTCGTGATTTACTGACGGAAATTTGGCAACGCCTGAGGGTTCATACGGCGTTTTTCCCTAGCACGGCAGTACTGTGAGTCGAGTTTTCCTGTCCTCTCGATTTTCATCATTCGCTCAAAACTCATCTCGCGGCAGAGACAGAAACAGAGTAATTCATGGATATTCGTCCTCCTGCCCTGTCCTCGAAATGGAAGCATCATCCTCATAATTCAGTCCGACTCGACAGGTCACTGGCTTTTCCTCACTTTTATCGGCAGAATTGAGTTCGTGAGAGAAAGTCATCTCGGGGAAAAAATGCTGAAAGAAATGGAA